GGCATGGTGTGACCACACCCAAACAAGAATACGGTACGGGGCTGGATAGCCAGTAGTTTTACATGTATTTAGATTTTAGTACACATATTTAGGAGAATCTATGCATTTAAAATTAGGCGGCTTTGCCTCAGATAAAAATAGAAAGAGTCAGCTTCTGAATTTAAACGGAAGAGTTAATTAGCCTTGGGTTAAGGTTGTAGTTACTCTTGGAGTAATCCGCTAAACTCGTACTTGTTCAAGTATAGAACGAAAGGTCGGTGACCTAACTTACGCTTCCTCTAAGCGCAAAGCTACGACAGCTCCGCTGCACTAAAGCTGCAATATACAATCGCTGTTTTGTGTCTCGTCTTGAGACGGCTAATTCATCCTTTCCGGCTCTGCTAGAAGCACCAAACAATATTGATTTCGATTTTTTCATCCCGTACAAAAGCTTTGACAGCTCCGAGACTGCACGAAATCCACTTCTGCATCCTGACAAAGGTGATTTATGACTCAATAGGCTCCACCAAGAGAGAAGTGTATAGTACCAAAAATCTTCGACTTCCATTCGCCCCGTGGCTCGTGAAAATTCATTATCGACATACCGATCATAAGATCCCAAATCGGGGTCTAGGAGAGTAAATAGGTAGGCGCTTAACGCTATCAGAGTCTTCAGTCTTTCCTTGAAAACTAAACAGAACCTTCGGCTCACTCACTAGCGTTTGCGTTGCACGACACAAGAATATTAATTCCCACAATCGGCATCTTCAATGCCTTCGCATAATATCTTTTTTGACAGTTGCGCGTCCTATGTCAATGCACAACGTCTGTCAGAGCAATCAACGGATCCACAAAGCTCGGAACATTGATATCAACAACAGCAGCCCTGGGTCGTGAATACTCCCTCGCTGAAGTAAAGTTGATCATTTCAGGGCAGGGTTCCACTGAGTATGACGTCAACCTTGTACAATAGAATCACGTCAAATCCTAGTAAGTCATTCTGCGTTCACTGGGACTTATTGTTTGCCCGCAAGAAATAATGTCTGGAGTACGAGCCTTTGTACATCACAGCTGAGTCAAAAGGGTTACGCAAGACGCAGATATTTTGTAATCCCACGGCTGCTATATTAGCGAAACTACGGAGATGCGGAAGCAGACATGGACTTTTCTCGTCCATCTCAGAATCCATCGCCATTCTGAGTTCCGGCTTTTGACACGACTCTTGCAATATGAAAATAGTACTCTCATTCGATACGACACCCGCGGCTTCATCGAAAGAGGAAGGGCACGCCACACCTGTGCAGAAAACCTCCTAAAATTAATAGTATCACGGAGGAAGGTCACATACCATAGCGATAACAACCCTGTTGCACAGAACCCGATCTGTGCAAGGTACACGGCATTTCGTTGTGCCAACACCACTACATGATTATCTGAATAAGTTTTCACAATCAGTAGACTTACGTGATCTTTTCAAGCTGTGATAAGGGTGTGCGCTCCAAATAAGATCGATCTTGATTTACCAGCTAGCGCCCAACTCAATCGTAAGAGTAAATTTGTTCGGGAGCAAGAATGTTTAGCAGATCTGTGCCCGTTTCACTTACTACATGTTTTCTTTGCATCTTACTATTTGTACGACGGTGTGGATATTCGCCTTATCTATATGTTCTTGAAGAGGATTAGATATCAGTTTCGCTTTGATTTAGTGAGAACAAGGTTTTATCTGTTCTTGAAGGGGTCTTTATGTGACACTGCTTTATGAAATGAGATTTATCATCTTTTTAAACTTGACCCAATCTAAAACATCCACGAGCTTTTTTGTGATTGCGTAACTTTTCTATTTGGTATTGGCTTACCCATCAATCAAAGTGACATTAATCGGATTGTCAGGTCAAGATATCAGTAATAAGTCTTCCAGTTGTCAACGCGATACATCAGAGATAAAACTGTCGAAAATTGCGCGATCGAGTACTTCCCATCCAAACATAAATAGTATCAGCGTAAAGAGGAAAGTACTCAGTTTTGAGTCTTTCTGTGTATTTGGGTAGCTTTCTATCGTACTTAGTAGGGTCTTCTGGCTTTCTCTTGTGTTCGGCCGCGCTAGAGTGTGGAAGTGACGGGGGAAGCGTAGGAGGAAGAGAGAAGCGCCGCGGAGGAAGTAAAGAGACGAGGACCGGAAGAACCACCACCACGAGCCTTTAGGCAGGCGTCAATCATGAATCCTGATCTCATGACGGTGCTAAGCATGCGTCAAAAGGAGATGTCGTATCACCAACTCGCTCTTCCTGGCCGCCTCTCACCTGCAATCTCTAATGATTTTGGCGCCAACTTGCCGCTTAAATCGTCGGACATGCATGACCAAGACTCGGGTTTTAGTCTACAGACGTCAAACTTTGAGCAATTTGGCTTCACGTGGCACTGGATTATCGAGGTAGCGACTCATTTCGCGCTTCAGCGACAAACTGCACACTTTGCTAACCAGTATGCGCAAGTTTTGCTGCGTCGTCGTGTTGCTTTTTCGAAAAAAAGTTACACAATTGGCTTTCGAGACGACGTACGTTACATGCAGAGGCAGCTGCGCGTACTTGGCCTATCGTGTGTCTTTATGGCGGCAAAGATTGAGGAAGTGCACCCACCCAAGGCAGCTGAACTCGTTGCATTTTTGGCCAAACGTGGCGCTGTTAAATTGGCTGCAGAAGATCTGGCACGTCTCGAAGTGGATTACGTTGTGGTAAGTAGTAGGAGAGGAATCAAACTAAGAGGCTTGGGGCTGTTAAATGGTTGACAGGTCCTTTGTATTCTTTATTAATTCTTACTGATTTTGATTACTAGGAACTGCAATGGAATTTGCACCCTACGACGCCTTACGCATGGCTACTTTTCATGGTGGCGGGGGGCTCGGCTGATCAACGTCCATTGGATACTATGGGCGACTTTGTCAATCCATCACGCAATCTTTCGGGCACGAAGGAGCTGTTTGTGAACGCTATCCGCTTAGTCGACATTGCGCTGCTTGACTTTCAGGCCATTGAATATTGGCCCAGTGTTCTTGCTGGTGCGGCCTTGTTGCTTGTGGACCCGGCGTTGGACTTCATGTTCGTGGCACAGTTCCTACAGTTGGACCCAAATGTGCTCTGGGAGTGCAAGTCATGGCTTTACGCCATGGCTTTTGGTGTATGTGATCTCGAGGCTTTGAGCACGCAGGCTAAGGACCGCTGGGTCAAGGTGCCGGTGGAGGAATTGCTGTTCATTCAATCGCAGGTTGTGGTGCCTAGTCACTTGGCTTGCGGTCTACTGCGTCCGGACAGCTTGGTGGATTTGTGCTCTGCTGGTTTGCACACTCCACTCGGAAAGGGCTATGGCCTTGATACTTGTCAGTCACCCTGTTCTCCTAGCAACAATTATGCCATGGTGGCACCACCGTCAAATTGCATTTGTAAAAGTGGCTATCACACATGCGGTGGAGAGACGCCCGGTCCGCATGTTTACCATTTTAAGTACGGCTGGCAGGGAATTGAAACAGGCCTGATCACGGAGCCAACCTTGGGATATCAACAAGAGCATTACATGCAGTACCCGTAGGTGGATGGTGGTGACGAGGGCGAAAAGGATTTACAGAGAAAAGTGAAGAGGAGACTACAATACAAGATAAATACTCGTAAGTTTGATTGGAAATGGGGTGAAGAAGCTGTTGATCTGAGGGAAGAAAGAAGTATAGGAGGTTTGTTAATGACCACATAAGGAGACTCAGCTTGAACCCAAAAGCTCAACAAAAGAACAAACAACTGAAAATATGATATTCGACTGGTAAGTCAAGCACTTGGAATAGTTCGTTTTGTAGGTTTAATTGACTATTAGTTTAGTACAATCTGCGCTACAATAACGACAACACTTGAGCTTTAAAGTCTAAGCATGATTTCAGGGATGTTAGGTGTGAATATTAAATATGATCACCTGAAAAGCATTTCACTCGTTTGTCAAAACATCATGGCACTAAAGTATTTCTTCAACTGTGGCAAAGTTTTCTCGTTGTTTATTACATGAGGCACGCACTATCCTAAGCATTTATAGCTGGTGTTTGAAACGCCATAGGAATCTGAAGCTTTGTGTATTTCTTCAACCAGAATCCCGCCCGTTTGCTCGTTGAAGCATTTGAAACTGGCAGCAATACACCTGTCCACGCTGCAGTGTCTAATTTCATCTGTGCCCGACGTGCGCGCTCTGCCTCCTCTTCTGCAGCGCGACGCTCTCGCTCTTCACGCAAACGTACTGCTTCTGCTATTTCCAGCTTCTGAAGTTTACGTCGACTTCGAATTTCAGCTTCACGTAAAGCATCGTCAGTGGCTGCCACAGCTGTACGACGTCTCTTCTCTGTTCGTGCCATTTCCTCTTCACGTCGGGCTCGCTTTCGCCGTTTTTCTTCGGCCTTACGCTCTTGCTTGTTCATGCGGTCCATATTTGGTCTGTTTGGCATAAGTTGCAATTTTACTCGGGTCGCTGTCGCATCCGAAATATTTGCATCCTCCCTTGAGCTATTCGTGCCACCGACGACGATCGTTCCCACGACAGAAGTAGCTGTGTCGACAGGAGCTGTTGAGGGTGTGCGCTTGCTAGGCATCACCAAACTTGCATCACTACCAGTAGCAGTTGTTCCCCCTTCCACTGTGCTTTTGTGGGGCTTGCAGCCAGAGTCTGCATCGTTAGCAGCTTGAGAGAGATGCTTTTGCGATTTCTTTTCACGCTCATCCGACATTTCGCTCCGCTTTCGCTTTGACTCGTTCATTCGTTCCTTTCGTAGTAGTTCCCGACGTCGCGTCTTCTCAGTCACGTCCAGTGTCACATCACTCCACAAGTCATTCACTACAGCCAACATGTGCACTGCTGCAGAATACACACTCCATCCTTCGCGATCCTTGTCCGCCCGATTGTAAACCATAGCATTTTCGAACGTCAGGCGCACATCCCGAATAAAGTCCCCGTGCATTTTGTACTCAAACGCCGTTAGTTTTTCAGCAATCGTCGACAAGTCCATTGGTGTCTTGACAATGTCAAAATAATCCGACGTCAGTGCGGGAAATAACACACGAACAGGCTTACGAAATGGCCAGCAATTTTTGTCGTGTTTCTGGCTGTTTAATACCCGAAGCAGCTTCTGACATTCTTTGGCTTTCAACTCTACTGGGACGGTGCTGACAAACTCGGCACGCTCGCGTCTCAATTGATCCCGCTTGGCGCGACTCTGCTCACCTGTTACCTCAGGCCCCGAAGTAATCAACATCTCAGCACACAACGAATCAAAGTACCACAGTAGGTGGGCAGACATTTCGCGCACTTGAGTTGACGCGGAATCATCAGCACAATTGAACCGCATAGCATTCTGAAATATCAATCTACCATTATACAGAAAATCAGCTTGAGTGAGCGCGTGCGCATGCAGCTGTTCACGTAATGTGCGCAGATCCATAGGCTCAGCAATAAGGCTCTTATATTCCGTAGCAAGCTGAGGAAATACCTCCAATAGTGGATGGTTGAAGTGAAGTTTAGATACTTGCTCGATCTTACCCAAACGATTAAGCACGCGGTCACAAGCGCTCTCCCACGAAGTCAAATCAGACTTTTTGTGCTTTTTACTTTTTTTATTCGAAGCCGAACTTGCACTTGGGGCAAGTTGTGGTTCAACCGGGCCTCTTTTTGAGGCAACAGCAGTCAAATTAGGAGCAGGGACTGCAGGCGGCATTTTTTCGTGCAGACCAGGTGAACACCCTACGCTTGAAGCAATGGTATTTGAACCTTTAGAAGTCTCCTTTGCAAGTAATCCTACCTCCTGTAAGATCACATTATGCCCTTGTGAGGAAGACAAAAAGTGATGAACTAATTTTGTCACATACCTGAGTAGCTGAGGTCTTGCTGCGCGCTTTCTTGTCCTTCTTATCCCTTTTTTTCTCTTTACCTTTCTTCTTCTTCTCTTTTTTCTCCTTCTTCTCCTTTCTTCGTTTTTCTTTCAATTCCTTTCGCAGCCGCTTTGCTTCCTCGGGAGAAATATTTGCGGGATTAGAGCTACTAGTATTGAGTACCTGTGTACTCTTTACCGGCACATTATTTGGTGCAGATTCAACTTTAACCGAAGAGACGGGTTGAATCGATATCTTTGGGGCCTCAATAGGTAAAACTTCCGGCTTGTGCGTCTTTCTTTCTTTTTGAGGTTCGCGGGAAACGATGCCATTGGAGTTGGACGATGTCATATTTGCTGACTGCTTTTTGACCGGAGATGGGGCAGATAATTTCTGGAAAGGAGACCCAACCACAGGATGACCTTCGACAGCGAGCACCTTTGACGGATTACTTGATTGCTTTAAATGCGGGACAGTTATAGAGGATGGAGCAGATTGCACATGCGTTGACATCTGTGCTAAATCTTTCACCGTTCCATCGAGCGGACCAAGTTTTTCGTTGCAAAGCTCCACAAAGTAATTACGCAGATTCGTGGCCATTGCTCGAATATCTGCCCCTTCCACTGGATCACTATTGTACTTGTGGCAATTGGAAAAAATTAAATGAACATCAGCACTGAATACGTCGACACTCCCATACCGATCACTTTTTAATTTGCGCTCGATTTTGGCAAAGTCCATCGGCTCAGAGACAATTGTCAGATAATCCGGGTACTTAGTTGTATCCACAGCAGTTAAGAAAGGTCCTGCTGTCTTGATCTCTATTCCACGAAAACCTTTCATTTTGTGTGCACGCAAATGCTTCATAATTCCAAGACAGATGTTTTTTTCAGGCAGGCCACTGCCCACATCACGAGACTTTGACGATTTAGAAAGCTTTGATAATTTGGATGACTTGGATGATCTTGACAGCAACTTTTTCTTGCCTTTATCATGCTCAACTAAAGGTCCACTCGCTACTGACATGGGGGTTGGTAACGATGGGGAGGGGTGCAACTCAACAGAGACCGGTTGGGTATTCGTATATGAAGTTGGAGACCGTTGCTTACCTTTAGACACCCCACTGTTGGTAGCGGAAGCGCTTAAGATCGAGCTACGTGTGCGCAAGACACCGAGCAATGTTTCGGCGGATTCACAATACGTCTGTCCCTGAGGATCAGATTTCCAGTAAGTGATACAATTGTCAAAGACAAGCTTCATGCCGGCAATAAATTCAGAAACAGTTTTGTATTCACCTAAGTGTAGTTTTGAAGACACAGTGCCAATATCCATAGGCTCTTTCACGAGTTCATAATAGTTATATGGAATTTGATCTGGCGAATCATAGTACGACTCGATTGGATATTTAAACCACTGTGATGTCTCCTGTCCAGCCGTTCGGTGCGCAAGTATATCGTGAAGTATCTGATGACAATTCCACCGCTCCGGAACACCAGGCCAAGAGCCTCCAATCTTAATGAACAGACTTTCAAAGAGTTTCATGAGAGTAACAGCGTGATTTCGCATGACCTTACTAAGAATCACATCGCTGTTGTAAACTAAGCAGTTCGAAAAAATGAGGCGTAAATCAAAAGCAAACGCATCAATTGTGGGGTAGCTTCCACTTCGAAGTTTTTTCTGGACGCCATATAAATGCATACGGTTGGGCACTTTGATACGGTAGTCTGGAAAATGATTTAAGTCTACTGCTTGTAAGAATGGCGCAGCGGGACTAATGTTTCCCTCTCTATACTTGATCAACTTCATAAGCAACGCAAGACACGCGGTAACTTCTAAGTCCGTCATTTTTGCTCGAGAAGCTTGGATTAATCCCATTTCTTGCTTAACTTCCAATTTTGTGCTCTCACGAAATGCTGGTGTAGTAATGGCTGGAGGACACTCATCACTTTTGTTCATAAAAGAAATTTCATCCTTTACCGACGATTTAAGTCCACCTTCATGCTCGCTCTGATGATGCTTTTTCTTACTCTCACCACTGCTTGAGCTTGAATGTCTGTGTTCCTTCTCACGACTCTTGCTTGATTTCTTTGACTTTTTTGACTTTTTGTCTTTTGTGCTGTGTTTATGTTTATGTTTTCTGACTTCCTGTCCATCATCTCGAGAACGATGATGATGATTGCTTTGGTGACTACTGCTGCTATGGTGTTGCTGAGACACCGATGAAGAGGATAAGCCTATACTTTCGGCCCTGCGTTTCTCCTTCTTGGCCTCTCGATGCGCCGCTTTGGCCGCATCATCCGCCTTGAAAACATTATCAATCGATTTCGCATAAGCTGTTTCAAAAACTCGCAGCAAGTGTTGAGCCGCGGCATACACGGAGCCCTTAATATCCTGATCATCTTTGTTGTAAGTAAGCGCATTGTGAAAAACAAGACGCACATCTCGCGCAAATTTGTCATGTGATTTAAAGCGGCAACGCGAGGGTTTGATCCCCAGATTCTTTTTGATTGTTGTGAGGTCCATCGGCTTCTTGATTACCTGGTCGTATCCTGGAATATCAACAGGCGTCATAAAGACCCATGACCAGCTTTCCTGCACGCGTGGGTTCGTCAGGAGCTCCAGTAGCCGCATACATTCTGTGTGCGCCGCCTCCGAGATCATGGGAGACAATCACTCTTAGTGCTTATATTTCATACTGATGCCATGTACTGATTTTCATCCAATCTTTGACAAGAATTTAATTAGAAAAACATCAAGCATGGCGTCAGCTGGAGGTGAACGTATGTCAAGTAGCGACTTTAAGAAGAAGCGCGAGATTGAAAATGCACGTAAGAATGGTACACTGCCACCTGAGCAAGATGCAGATGGTAATTTAATCAATCCACACAATCCGGAATTCATTAGTAAGCGTCCGTGGTATTTGGGGGATTCGGGGCCGTCGCTTAAGCATCAGACATTGCAGCATCAGGCGCGTCTATTATCTATACATGAGGCTGATGAACTATACATCAAAGGAAGAAAGCAGCAAGCGATCATAGAGACAGGTCAACAGCGGAAGTGGCGCAAGGGTGCGTGTAAAAACTGTGGCGCAATGAGCCACAAGACGAATGAGTGCGTCGAAAGACCGCGGAAGGT